TGCACCATTATTTGGATACCTTGGCGACCGCTATTCACGAAAGTATTTAATTGCAATTGGAATCACCATATGGTCTGTTACCACTTTTGCTGGTTCTTGTATGGGGAAGAATGTAAGATAACAATTAAATAAAACAAATAGCTGTAATAATTTAAACTTTAGGTCAATCTCATAATCAGTGATTATGTAGTGTCCTATAATGATCATTTTCATATAAAAAAACAAAATTTTCTAAAATGTTACCCTAACAGTCAGGTCAGGTTTTCCTGCTACTGGTAACATGTAACCCAGTACAACCTGCTCCATGTCCTGCTGCCTTGTAGGATACGCTTTTTTAGGCAAAGGCTAGGAGAAGTTAACTCCGAATTAAAACACCCCCTGCCTTGGGGCTCTTGGTTGAGTAAAGGCTAGAGATGGTGTCTCGATAAAAATACTCATCTTGGGCAGATGTTACATGCATCCAGCTGCTGTCTTGTAGAAGGCCTCCTAGGCAAAGACTTAAGGGGTAAACAGATTCTATCTGTTGACCAGCCTCGCACCCCTTCCTCATCTATTAGGCTGGCGCAGATGTATTCTTAATACATTGTTTCCAGTTTAGGATGTTGAACGCTGGAAATTCTTGACTCAATGCGTGGGTATTGCTTGTGTCTCTATTTTTATGACTGGGCAACTCATTCTATTATCTCCTAATGAGGGTACAGCTCTAAAACTCAGTTTTATGGTTCTGAGGCCGGCTGGTAGTCAGGTTTCCCGAACTCTGTGGTAGCTCTCAGAGAGGCTGATTCCATCAACAGCCGAAAAATATCAGAGTACTAACAGTGCCATGTTGCGCATGGATGGTGTCCCTGTTTGTACTTTTGGTGTGCATTGCAGAGGCCACATTTGGAGCCCTTTGTTACGGCTTAGGGTTTATTAAGAGTAATGAGGCTATTGCTTAGTTGTTAAATAGTGTACTGAGTACTATCTATACTTGAGTCAAGTTCTTTATAAATTTAAAATGACTAAAGTACCTAAAACTAAAAAACCCAAAAAACCATTGTCATCACCAAGTTCTCTAAACCTATCATTTACTAATATTCGTGGTCTTCGAAGTAACTTTTCTTCTGTTGAGTCTTATCTCTTGCAAAGTTCACCAGACCTACTTGCTCTTTGTGAGACTAATTTAAGTTTGGCTGTCCCATCTTGTGATCTTAGTGTTGATGGTTATCTTCCTTTAATTCGTAAAGACTCCAATAATCACATGCTTGGCCTGGGCATCTACATTCGTAAGAACTCACCCATTTGTCGTGAAACTAGGTTTGAATCTACAGACTATTCATTTATGTGCTTTCGTTTAGCACAACTTCACTCTATCGCCTTTCTCTTTGTTCTATATCGCTCTCCTTCATCCCAAGATTGCACTATTCTTGATGTTATTTCTGATCAAATTGACCAAGCCCTCTCTCTTTATCCATCGGCCAATATCGTCGTTGTTGGTGACTTTAATGCCCATCACACCGATTGGCTTGGCTCTAGTGTCAGTGACTCTGCTGGCGTTAAGGCCCTCAACTTTTGCCTTTCTCAATCTCTAACTCAAATAGTCAACTTTCCAACTCGTTTTCCAGACAACTCTAATCATTTACCTTCTCTACTCGACTTATGTCTTGTTTTGGATCCTAGTCAGTGCTCAATTTCTCCACATTCACCCTTAGGTACTTCTGATCACGGTTTGATCTCTCTAAAACTATTATCAAATTCTTCTACTTCATCAGAATCCCCCTATCATCGTACCACATACAACTACCTTAAAGCTGACTGGGACTCTTTCCGTGATTTTCTTCGTGATGGCCCTTGGGTAGAAATCTTTCGTCTTCCTGCTGACAAATGTGCTTCTTACATAACTTCGTGGATTCAGGCTGGCATGGAATCTTTTATTCCCTCTCGACGATTCCATGTTAAGCCTCACTCTTCTCCTTGGTTTTCCTCACATTGCGCTGCAGCAATTTCTAATCGAAACCGTTACTTCCATATCTATCAGCAAAACAATTCTCCAGAAAACAGACATCTGTTCACTATTGCCAGAAACCATTGTAAAAAGGTTTTGTCTGACGCCAAAACTCGCTATTCCCAGGTCATTAAATCTCGTATCTCATCACAAAAATTAGGCTCTCGAGACTTCTGGAGAATCTTTAACAGTATCAATAATAAGGGCAAATCTGTTATTCCTTCTCTCTTGTATGGTTCAGACTTTGTCACCTCACCTAAAGACAAAGCTGAATTGTTTGCTAAGAACTTTTCATCAATATCATCTCTTGATTCCACTAGTTGCGTTTTACCTGACATAGCCGTCAAACAGGTTGATCCCTTGCTTGACATTCGCATCACTTCAGCTTCTGTATCTAAAGTAATTTCCTGCTTAGACTCTTCAACAGCTTGTGGTCCTGACAACATTCCTGTTGTAGTTTTGCAGAGGTGTTCTCCGGAGCTTTCATCCATACTTTCTAAACTATTTAACAAGTGCTTATCAGAGTCTTGTTTTCCATCATGCTGGAAAGCAGCATCTGTTATCCCTATTTTCAAAAATTCCGGAGAGCGATCTGATTCATCTAACTACCGTCCCATTAGTCTTCTTCCTGTCATAAGCAAGGTTTTTGAATCTTTAATTAACAAACACTTAATCTCTCATCTTGAATCAAATAACTTACTTTCTGACCATCAATATGGATTTCGGTCTTCTCGTTCTACAGCTGATGTGCTAACAGTAATAACCGATAGGTTTTACCGTGCATTAGATAGAGGTGGAGAGGTTAAGGCTACCGCACTTGACATTTCTAAAGCTTTTGATAAAGTTTGGCATGCTGGTCTTCTCCATAAGCTTTCTTCTTATGGTGTAGCTGGTAACGTCTTTAAGATTATTGAGTCCTTTCTTTCCAATCGTAGTATAAAAGTTGTCCTCGATGGACAACACTTTTCTTCACATCCTGTAACTTCAGGGGTTCCTCAAGGTTCAATCCTTGGCCCTATACTCTTTTTAATTTACATTAACGATCTTCCAGATATTCTCACATCTAAGGTGGCATTATTCGCTGACGACACTACCATTTACTCTTGTCATGATAAGAAGCCTACACTCTCTGATTGCTTAGAGGGGGTATCTGAGCTTGAAAAGGATCTCACTTCTGCTACATCATGGGGCTCACAGTGGCTGGTGAACTTTAATTCAGATAAAACTCAATTTTATTCGGCCAATCGTTATTGTAATAATTTAGATCTTCCTATATTTATGAATGGTAATGTACTAGATGAGTCATCTACCATTCATCTTCTAGGATTAACTCTTACTTCTGATCTTTCTTTTGAACCGTATATCAAATCCATTACAAAATTAGCATCTGCTAAGGTTGCATCTCTTTATCGAGCTCGACACTTTCTTACTCCAGATTCTATTCTCTATCTCTATAAATCTCAAATCCGTCCCTGTATGGAATACTGTTGCCACGTCTGGGGCGGATCTTCTAATGATGCTCTTTCTCTTTTAGACAAGGTGCAAAAACGAATTGTAAACATAGTTGGACCTGCTCTGGCAGCCAACCTTCAACCTTTGTCACATCGTCGTAATGTTGCTTCTCTTTCTCTTTTCTACAAATACTATAATGGGCACTGCTCTAAAGAGCTAGCGTCCCTTGTGCCATCTACTAAAATTCATTCTCGTGTTACTCGCCATTCAATTAAGTCTCATCCTTTTTCTGTGACTGTTCCTAAGTGCTTCAAAAACTCTTATTCTTCTAGTTTTTTTCCTCGAACATCAGTTCTTTGGAATTCGCTTCCTTCATCTTGCTTTCCTGATTCATATAATTTGCAATCTTTTAAGTCATCAGTCAATCGTTATCTTGCTCTACAGATTTAGTCTTTTCTCTTCCAGTAACTTCCAACTCTTATAGTGGTTGCTTGCAGCCTTGTTGGAAGTGAAGATGTAAAAAAAAAAAAAAAAAAAAAATTCCAAAAAAATGATGTTCAAGGAAAAAAACTAGACAAATAAGAATTTTTGGAGCACAACAATCACAGTATATAGATATGACTAAATTGAATGACAAGTAAGACAAGAATGAATTTTAGTAGATGGCACAAGAGGTAGAAAAGAATTTAAGCTGGAGTAAGAAAGTGGTGAGCACAATAAAGAGATGCAACCTTAGCAGATGCTAATTTTGCAATCAATTTGATATATGTCAATTTGATATATCCAAGAAAGATTAGAAGTAAGAGTTAGTCCTAGAAGACAAAGGGTAGGTGACTCATCAAGTACATTATAGTTCATAAATGTAGTAAGACCTAGATTGTTGCAATAACAATTAGCTGAAAAAAATTGAACTTTACTTGAGTTGAATTTCATCAGCCACTGAGAGCCCCATGCTAAGCATAAGTGAGAACTTTGTTAAGTTCAAATGCCCCTTCCAAACAATTAGAGAGTGTGTGTATGCTAGTTGCATGTTACAAAAAAAACGTTTTTTATTCAAAAGCATATTTAATAAAAATAGAAAAAACCTTTTTTTTTAAAAAAAAAGAAAAGTTAAGGGTTGTAAATGGGGCAAAGGGTAAAATTGAGAAGTCCTACGCCCGTTTAAACATTTTAGATGCACATTACAATAATTTTTTTTAAATAAATGTCAGATATTTTAAACAAAGTATAAACAAACAAAAAAATTCAAAATATTTATACTATTTATGAAAATATTGTACATAGTTCAACAAAATATGAACAATTCTTCTTCCTGCTCCGGAGCAATATGTCAAAGATACAGATAAATTTTCTTCTTCGATTTAAAATAACTATAGAGTCGATTTACGTATTAAGTATTTTCGTCTTCACATTCAAAACTATTTCATGTATTCTCAAATTTGAAATAAAGTATCCGCATTGCTCAGAAAACTGTATATTTATAACATAATCATACATGTATATATATCATACATACATACGCACATATGTATATATATATATATATATATATATATATATATATATATATATATATATATATATATATATATATATATATATATATATATATGTAATATATATGTAATATATATATATATATATATATGTATATATATATAT